GTAGCAAAGTCTAATTGTTTCAAAATAGCACTCACACTCATATGGCTGATTCCTTACCGTGTCTGACAGCTTCATTGATTGCATTCAGTTGTTTCGTGTAAACATATCTATCCTTTTAGTAGAGTGTAACGGTTTAAATTTGAGTTCGTAATTAAGGATTAATGGATGAAAATCCAGTGACTTAAAGGTAACGGACTGGTCAATTACACCGATAAGTCCTGGGTTCGATATCTCGCGGGATGGGATCGTGGGTGCGTACTGACAATGAGTCTCATACTAGGACGGAACGGCTGTCCAGTGTTTCCAGATTTCCATGGTGGTCTAGCTTCAACTGATTCATGAATTCATTTGTAATTAAGTTCTGTTTATCCAGAGTTTGTTCATACTTGTCATGAATGTATGAAAGTTAAAACTACTAAAAGTTCTGTCGTTCAACCATCCAGCTCAGAGAATAAAACTCCATCGAAATCACCCACCTGAGCTACAAATCTTATACACCATCTCACAAAGGTTTCTTTATTCCAGCTTCCTTATTTTCTTCTTTAAACTGGTTTATTTAATCATCTATTAAAAATTTAGTCAGTTGTTTCTAAGGTTTAAAAGTACTATTGGTACCGTTGTAATGTAACCCAATTATCAAGTGGATTTATGTATATTCAGCTTTCATCTATACTTAGCTATTCAAACAGAATCAGAAATGAACTGGAACTTGCAACCCAAAGACTGATAGTTCATTGCTTTTTAGCTAGGTTAACACTTAATTTAGGGTTACAGATGAGTAACCCACAACTCCATTTGTATACAAATTAAACTCTATCACCTTGATAAGGTGGTTGGATTTGCTAATGACCTAATCGAGCTATACTGGCTGAAATACACATTCCTTCAGGTCAGTTCATAACAAGAAGGTCTGTTGAAAAGCTGTAGAACTAAGAGCATTAACTTAATGTCCAAAGTTAGAGTCATCCTTTCAACTGTATAGCGATATGATATCCGTAGGCTTTTTCCCCTAGACAACCAGTATTACCAATAATACTACTTTCTCACAACGGAAGGAGAATGTTAGAGAAGGTTAGCCTTAAATATGGTACACTACACCTTTACAGATAAATTTCTATCACCAGCAGTTGGGCTCTAGATTTGTGAAGGTGACGAATAAAAGAAAACTGCTCACAAAATGCTTATGTATGATCGGCATTAGACAAAGCTGAGGCTATGATACGAAGTCCAAAAAGGTTATTACTAATCCGGTTTCCTTATCAGGTCTCTTTAGAATAAGCGTCCTATCAAGGCATAGACTACTGTGAAGTGATAACAATGTGGTAATGTAAAATAAAATCTAAAACTGACATGCTCTACTCTTTAAGAATTCTACACAATTTTATTTTGGGGGAGTTTTATTCTCTGAGCTGGATGGTTTAGTCATGATTAGATTTGCCATTTTGCTTCCACTTTACTCAGCTATTCTTCATCCTAATGGACAATTGATTGGAGGTTTGTATCTTACACTTGTTGGTAGAACATGCTGACGAAGAAACTCGTTGAGAAAATACAGTTATTCTCGAGTGGAAACCTGCCTTTAAGTTAAACTCTCCCATTGTTGAACAACGAGAAGTGTACTACGCTCATATAATTTTGAAATGGTAGAGAAGATTTGTAGCTCAGGTGGATGATTTTGATGAAGTATTGTTCTCTGAACTGAATGGTTTGGTTAAAATCATCCATTTGAGTTACAAATCTTCTTCACCAACAAAACTTTGTGCATTTTTTTTTCTTCAATATTTCATTTAAAAACTTAGCTGAATTTCACTAAAAGGCGTGATCATTGATTTTTATGTCAAATACTACCCTTGTTCATAAATGATAATAGAAGTTATTAGGTATGAAACGTGATGCCAACTTCCTGTGACCTGTAGTCAGGTGACTTTTTTCAAAAATCACCAAAACTTCAAGTTAAGGGATAAACATCTATTAGATGACCTTATTCATAATTACTGAAGAATAATATATTATGAATTACCTACTTGTCATTATTTCCAATTTTGTAAACCCTCCCCCCCCCACAAAGAAATGGGCAGATGAAATATATCCTGAGTATTCTGTTATGATTCTGAATGTACACACTTTGTAATTCTTTATTTTGAAAATAGCCTAAAGTCATCTGGTGTAATAGTACCTAGCTTCTAATTAGATAATTAGCCGAGTGTTAATGTTATCGTTTATCCTAAGGTGGGTGGTGATACCAGTCAGTCGTTGATAAGGTAGGTCCTGGGACGAATGTGTAATCGCCAAAGTTCCCATACCATACCCATGATATAACTGTCTAGTACTTCTTAATGTCTGGTATTTATGTGTTAGTCTTTAGGGATTTTGTAGTTGAATTAGACACATCACATTTACTCAATATCGACTCAAATAGTAATTTTGTTTGTCTTGATCGTTTCTTTATTTTACTTATCACCATTATTTTGTTTATTCTAGAGTAATTTATTTCTCCATTATATAGAAGAAATGAGCTTTTTGATTGAGATCATGAACAGATTGATGGCAGACCACCAATCGAAAACTTAATAATCTCCAAAACCCCATACTGATAACTATCATGTGCTCACTAGCGATTAGCTTCGTGAGGGAATTCTCAGAGTTCTAGTGAGAAGCCGTGACCAGTGCAGCTAATCCATATTAGGTAGAGAAAGGTATCTGCCCCAGTGTAATGAAAGGTGGTTGCGCAATTTTGTGGATTGGTTGAGGTCAGATATTAACACCGCTGGATGACGACCGGTTCAGTGGTCTAGGTGTTAGGCGTTCGTGCACGAGACTGAAAGTCCTGGGTTCGAATCCCGTAGGCAAGATCTTGGATGTGCATTTCTGAGAAGTCCTACAATAGGACGAAACGGTTGTTCAGTGCTTCCAGGTTTTCCATGGTGGTCTAACCACAATTAATTCATGTTCTCAATCAAAAATTTAATAATCTCCACAAATCCATACTGAAAAGAGCTTTTCTTTAAACATATTTATATCTTGATCGCTGAAATAAACATTTACAAGTTTCTTGAAAAGTTCTATTATTCTGTTAACCTTAAAATGTACACAACAAACAAATACACTGTTTGAAGATAATAAAGAAAACAACAGTAAATAAAAAAAACTAATAACAAAATCGTCTTCCACTCTCATAACTCATCAACGTTGCTAATATGCATAAATCACTATAATGTTCTATATCGTTAACGCCTGTTATAACGTGAAGTAATCTAGTATTTCACCTCCCCTGCTTAAATTCACCTTGAATGCATTGTGTATACACCAACATATACGAGGGTAGAATACAAAAGTTTAATTTCTCTAATCTTGTCTTACATTTGTCTCATTTATGTACTTTTTAAGTAATGACCATGAAAATAACAACAACAACAACAACAACAAGAATCTTTTTTTTTTCAAAAAAAATGTAAACAACAAGGAACCAAAATATTGTTCTTTCAATTGTTTAGCATGTTACCAACTAAACACTAAATCATTATTTATGAAATAAGTTCAGTAAACATTAATTAGTATCTCTCTATAAGTTCATTAGTATAACATTGTTTTAAGTTGATTAATTTATAGAGTGTAATATGGATTGTTAGTGATTTCAATTTTTGATAAATAAACTTTTAAGTTGAAATATTCAATTGAATAGATATAATCTCTTAACTGCATATCTTTTAATCTCTATTCATCAAAGTAAAAGAACTAGTGCTTTCAACGTGGTTGCTTTACCCCCAAATGCCTTGGTATGGCCGAGAGTGGAGAGAGTTCGCTCTCCCTCTCCAAATGCTCTCACATGGCCAAGCGTATATAGCCTCTATCAGGGAAGTCCTACTAACTGACTTCTCGTGGCGGGGGTGTTGTTTACGAAATTGAGAGGATGAAAAGTGAATCTTCGGCGCTTCCATCTGATTGGTGGACACGGAGAGTCCACCTGAGGGAGTTCGAAAACCCTGATTACAAATCAGTGGTACACATGGGCTCCAGGATCCTCAATGAACAAATGGCGTATGAAACAATCGTTGATTATTGGCTACCATGGGATTGCATCACCTCACGATGCTCCACTGCCTTGTGGATCAGATCTTCAGGTCGAAGGCTCAGAGTGTGGCCTCCTAAGAAAACCACCTGTTTCGGTTTGGGCACCTGTGAAATCTCACAGCCCTCACACATATCAAATGAGATTTGTGTGGTGCATGTATATTGGGTGCCTCCTTGTACCAATATCTATGTGTAAAAATAAATAAATAGATAAGTTCATCAAAGGAACTCTGATTTACATAAACTTTATATTTGGCTGTTGGAAGGTAGTATTACAAATCATTACACAGTTAGTACAACTCAAAGCTGATTAAATTAACCTGTAATTATATAACATTTAATGCACCGAGAGTAGGAATAGTCCGCTCTCTCTCTCCCTCTCCAAATGCTCTCACAAGGCCACGTGTATATAGTCACTGAAACGGGAAGTCCTACTCATCGAATTCTCGTGGTAGTTGTGTTGTTTACGAAAGTAATAGAGAATATCCGTCATTTTAACCGGGTTGATGGATATGGAAGATCTAACAAGAGGTGTTGGAAAACCCTGATTTCAATCAATGGTGTACATAGGCTCCAAGATCCTAAGAAAAAAGTGGCATATGAACTTATTATTGGTCAAAGGCTCGAGGTGTGGCCTTCTAAGTAAACCATTTCGTTAGCTTTGGGCACCCAGGTAGTATTCCAGCTTTTAAACAAATCGAATGATTTATGTGGTGCATATATAGTTGATACCTCCTTTTACCGATGTTTATGTGTTTAAATAAATAAATAGATTCTGATTAATAAAATCATTGTTGTACTACTGATTTTTCTTAATAGTAGATAACATTCAGAAATGTAACTCCATTAGATACTTGTTAAACATGAAACATTATATATATATATATATATATATATATATATATATATTTCTTACTTTTAAAAAATAGGTAACTATGACTCGCACTGAAGATGCCTTACTTGCTATTCGTGATCCTAATCCATGTATTGATGGTCGTAAAGCTAATGTGAACTTAGCAGTACTTGGAGCTAAACCTCGTCTTATGCCTGGAAGTAAGTTATATTGATCTTATAAATCATACATTCAACGGTTTTGTAGTCATTGAACCTTTTAATATTCATTTTAATTGATGATACTTATATGAATTTATTCTGTCTGTGAGTGAATTTCATTGACATTGTCTCCAAGCTTATCTATGAAAATGATTATCATTGAACAGAAACATAGATTGTTTTCAGTAAGAGTCTGTGGAGATTGGTGGATTCCGTTGAAATCATGAATCGATCAATATCAGACCACCATTGAAAACCTGGAGGCACTAGACGTCTGTTTCGTCTTAGTACGGGACTCCTCGAGTGTTGACATCTACAATTACTCATGCGAAAATCGAACCAAGAACCTAGGGGCTCATTCACGAACACCTAATCTCTAGACCACTGAGCCTGAATTCAACTGTGTTAATGTCTAACTTTAATCAGTCCACGATAATGCGTGACCATCTCTTATTGTCTTCGGTGAGTGACTGTCTCACACTCGACACAGGATCATTGATTCTCACTGCTGAGGTGTCTTATACTGTGACAAAACTTCCATCCAGTACGTCCATTATTTCAATAGTGGTCTAACATTGATCGGTTCAGGAGATCACTGATATAGATTGTTATAGGGATCTAATAAACAGTCGTTATTGAAAATTAATTACAATGCCCTCTTATGAATTTGAGTTGAGAGTCATTTATGTATTTCAGTGTATCTCAGACTTTTAAGAGAAATAAATTCACCAATCTCAAAACTCTAAAAACAACAACTACTTTGTTGTTAGTTATTGCTTCAAAGTGATACTTCCCTTTCGACCTTGTGTAGCGTCATACATTTTCATTGAGATATCGAATATTGTATGTATGCTAATAACACGAAATATCTGGTCATACTTTGTTTGGTAAAATACTGATGGACTGACTGAAAGTTAATTACCTAGAATATAGACCTGCAACGAGCTTACAATCTATGGACGAACCTATTATGATTATTATTATGATTTTAACACATAAATATTGGTATAAGGAGGCACCAAATATATATGCGCCACACAAATCTCATTTGATATGTGTGAGGGCTGTGATACTGCACAAGTGCCCAAAGCGAAACAGGTGGTTTGCTTAGGAGGCCACACCCTCAGCCTTCGACCTGAAGATATGATCTTCAAGGCATTGGAGCATCGTGAGGTGATGCAGTCTCATGGTAACCGGTGACCAACGATTAGTTCATACGCCATTTGTTCCTTCAGGATACTGGAGCCCATGTGAACCATTGGTTTCGGAGTCGGTTGAAGGGCCGAACATTCGCTTTTCATCCTCTCATTTTCGTAAACAACACCCCCGCCACGAGAAGTCATTTGGTAGGACTTCCCCGGTAGAGGCTATATACGCGTGACCATATGAGAGCATTTGGAGAGGGAGAGCGAACTCTCCCCACTCTCGGCCGTATCAGGGCGTTTGGACGAGCCAGTCAGATTTTAAATAACAGGTATTGAATTTCTGAGCGAAATTAATTTATTCGTTTATCTAAATAGCGTTTTGCCATCTTAGCTAATATCAGTTCATAATGAAAACCCTAAATATAATTCCTAACCTTAATTATCAACTAATAATCATAATTCTAATTCTTCACATTTAGGTTTATAACTATGATTAGGTGGATATTCTTAAGTTCACTTTAATGTCTCTTATTTGTTATCTATAAATTATAATCTCATTAAATCTACAATTATACAAAACTCATGTTAGTCATGAATATCTTTTAATAATAAGTATTATTTATAGCCTAATAGTGAAATGATTTAAACTTAATCGATCTTATGTACTACTTTTACAAGGAAGTTATTAGTAGTGATATGAATAAATCAACTTATTTACTTATTATATTGTTGTATATATTCATGTTAGTAATTGTTCTAAGTACATACATATGTAAACAATTTCTGAGTCATAAACTGAATGATTATATTCATATACATGTACGTCACTTGAAATACTTCATTGAAGTACTTAATTACACATATACATGAATGAAAATACTAAATAAAATAAAAACAACAAGAGTTGATAAGCAAAAAAATGGATAATGGTTAGCAGTGGAATCTAGTTTGACGCACGTTTCGTCCTATTTGGGACTCGTCAACTGGATGTATTTGGATATCAGTGTTGATGTCCATCAAACTCTTGGGACTTGAACCCAATATCATCCGCTTCAAACATCATCACGTTATCCACTTCGTTACTAAGTCTTGATAACCATATGCTTGTGCAATGAAGTTGGTTAACGAAAAACATTCAAACTAAAAGAGTACTATTCAGTTTAATAGTTATTTCATGTTATCAAACTGATTCATTTAAATCCATATTAACATGTTAATTGCATCAAATCAGATTCTATATTATGACATTGATGTTTTATAGATAATGATTTTCATTCATTAGGTCAAGGCTGTCTCTTTTTATTCCCATAATTTTATGATCTATCATCATAAATGTACCATGGAACTAAAAGTATAAAGTTGTAGATGGTTATTGATTAGCTTGGTTCTTTTATGAAATGAAAATGAATGGATTAAACATTGTAAAGGATAAATATACCTGATCGTTCATGTATATATATCATACTATATAGGATTGAATTAAGAGTTTTTAAATTGAGTAGATACATTAAAACAAAAGAATTATCATGTATTCATTTATTATGCTTAAATAACTTCTTGGATTCATATAATAGAGTTTAAGATGTTTGCTATGCCTTGTTCTAGGCCATTAAAATAAGGTAAGGATGGCGAATCAATTGATGAAGTAGTGAAACTTCATCAATTGAGATGGCTGGGACATGTGTTATGTATGCCCTACCACCGACTACACCGACGAACGATGTTTTATGGTGTATGAGTAGGTTGGAAGAAAGCTAGAGGCGACCAACACAAAACATGGCATAAATCCATGAAGTCACTGACAAGCAAACTGAGTGAGCCATGTTGTTAGGTGTAGACTACCTGGTTAAGATCCACGAGATGATATCAACCAATGTTTAGAGACCTTGATTGACATGATTGAAAATCGTTTGCAATGGTACAAGTTCATCCACTCTATGTTTTCTCCCAAGTTAGTATTATATGCTTTCCTGTTTTACTTATTGTTTTCTCCTCAAACATGTTTGAACCATCATATTCAATATTTGAAGGGAATTTTAGTATACTTGACATATGACCGGGATGCGCGTTTCATCTTATTTGAAATTCTTCGGTAAGAGCAACTTCAATTTTCGTATTAAATATCACCAACGTGAAATTCAAAACTCTTTCTGACAATTTCATATCCATTGACCGAATAAGTGGTTATCTAGGCTCGGTAGCTCTTTTGATATCATGTTAGGATTTGTAGCGTAAAGTACTTGGTTTAAGTTTTATTATGATACATTGTCATTATGAAGAAGGTACATCTAAATGGCTAGATCAGTTACATACTGTACATAAGATGAATTTTATCAATTCAGCTTTAATCATTATCGCAGATTGTCTAACCACTATTCAGTCTACTAGTTTAAAAACATATACTGTTGTTTTTATTTTGTTCTTCTTATGAAGAACAAACCTAATCCTAGGGAATTTAAATAAATAAAGTAGAGCTATCAGTTCATTGAACAGATATACAAGATGGTCTAAATGTCCCATATTTATATTCAACAACTTCCCAGTTGAAATTATCTTCATTAATAACTTGTAATTATGCGCATCATCATCAAATACATACATATACGCCACACAAGTCTCATTTAATTTGTGTGAGAGCTGTGATACTGTTCGGGTGCCCAAACCGAAGTAGGTGATTTTCTTAGGAGGCCACACTCACAGCCTTCGACCTGAAGATCTGATCCACATGGTAGTGGAGCATCGTAAGGAGATGCAGTCCTATGGTAACCGATGATCAACAATTGGTTCATACATCATTTATTCCTTGAGGATACTGGAGCCGATGTGTAACATTGATTTGGAATAAGAGTTTTCCAACTCTCTTAGGTGGACTCTTCCTGTCCACCAACCCAGTTAAAGCATCAGACATTCTCAATTTCGTTAACAACACCCCTGACACGAGAAGACAGTGAGTAGGATTTCCCTGGCAGAAACTATGTTGCACATCATCGACCTTTTTTCATTATCGACTTATATTACTGAGTATAAAACTAAACTAGAGAAATTAAATTCTACTGATTGATGATTTTTATTAGAAAAACTTTGATTACTAAATATAGTATTAGAGTGTGAAGTGTATGTATATGCTTTACAATAATAAACATACATTATTTTCTCTAATTATATTAATGCACAAATGTTACTGATCACAATATAAACATACAATAACACTTAGAATCAATATGGTTTAGTAACAAGGCGGAGCACTTCTTCATTCATATATATATATATATTGCGCGCGCGCGCGCGTGTGTGTATGTATGTATGTGCGTACGTATATATATGTGCTTGTGTATGTGGTGTATTCATCTTTAAGTTATTATGAAAGATAATAAAATCATAAAACTGATTAACCAATGTGCCATTTTAGTCAACATTCTCATTTCTATTCCATTAACAATAATAATTATCTATTTCAATCGTTGTATACTTATGAATGATCAAAGTTCATAATGTAGTATCTTCAACATTGAGTATAGTTGCTATGGCTTTATTATAAAATAAGAACAACCTATTAGATGGATTATTGTTTACCTTTTAATAAAAATTAATTATTTATTTAGTGTGAAAACTTTTTTTCTTTTTTTTTTAACACAATGATTTTTTGCAACAATATACTTAGATACTCATCAATATATTTGTATGCTTCATTTCAATATATTTCTTTGCACATATTGAACTAATACTGCAAATATATAATGTTAAAAGTTAAATCACTACTAACTTTTGTCCATGAAACTATCTGTTTACAAGAAGTATGTCTACCATGGAAAATCTGGAAGTAGTCACATGTGAAACTGATAAATCCTGGGTTCG